ACAGATTTGGCGTACATAAGTAAGCCTCAGAATTCATTCCCCCTTTGCCTGACTGGAGTTCGGAAGATGGACAAACCCAAAACTGATCTGAGCTTTTCAGAAACCCAGGCCTTTAAGCACAGTGACATTGGCTTGGGGACTATCCACGATCGTGCTCAGCAGCTGGGCACAGCCTGCAGGACCTGCAAAATCAGGCCACAAAGCAGTACACCTAAAACCAAAGCCCAGGAACACTAACAACCAGACTGACGGTAAGCTTTTACTCTTCTATTCAAAACAATACATTCAATGTTAATACATCAAGCCTCATGGGGTCTTGCCCGTTAAGTTTGAGGATTTGAATCTCATGAATGCGGAATCTGCATTGTTCTCAGTGGAGGTCACTTTGCTGTGCATGTAGGAACACGCGGTTCGCTTCAACAGCTTACAAGTGTAGCAGAATTGTCAAACTCATTTTGAGCTCACCTCTGTTTCCTCTGTGTCTCAGGGCATGCAATCCCAAATCCTTGTGGTTCAGTGGGGAGTTAAAGCCATACCCTGATGCTATTTCAGGAGTAGAGCGATTGGTGCTACTTCTCTAACTCGTCTAACCACCACTGACGAGAACTTACAATAACCTTAGCTTATTCCACCCACCCAAATGAGATTTTTCTGCTCGAAAAGGGGCCAAACTTCACACATCAGCCCATAGTATAGGAGAGCGGCCCTATACCATGTCTGAAATTCCTCTCCAAAGTACAACATGCCTCATGATTTAAGTCATTAAGAAGGTGCCAGCAAAAGTTCAATTGAGCAATCAGTAGTCTTTTAATGTATGTTATCATACTTTCCTCTCTCTCCACCTTGGTTTAAAAAGGCCTCATGATTAATGTCACCTTTCTTCTAAAAATGTTGTGCAAACAAACAGTTCACCGTAAAGTTTTAATTTTAGGTTAATTTTCTGATAGTATCTATCTCTTTTCTTACATTTAAAATCAGTGTCCATTGAAAAAAATTAAAATTCAATTGAGACCACATTGAATGTTTAAATGTGACCTCGGGCTGCTTCTAGAGAACACTAAATGAAGGTAAATTGTAATGGTTTCTGAAAAACATCTGTTTTCATACAGATGTTTCTCATAACCACTGGCTGTAGCATGGCTGTAGACAGGTGCACAGAGCTGCAGTATGCCACCAAGTTACACATTTTTTCTCTAGGGATAAACTATATTTTTTACTGGTTACCTTGCTGTTGTTGTTTTCCTTGTCGGCACTGCAGAGTTGAATAGCTTCTTTGAGCCAAGGTGCATAACAGCTGCTCAATTATTAAAACTCAATGTAATGTTACTAAAATCCCAGTAGTTGTAATATAATGAAGCATTTCAAGCTTCACAATCCTAAAAAGTATCAATCCAATATCATAATAGAGGAGTTCAAGCAAAAACCAGATCTGAATGGAAATTACCTCCTCTAAACACAGCCCTTTCGACACTTTCAGGAAGGGATTTTCTTCAGGCATGGGACCCCAAAGCATTTTGGAGGCAATTTCCCATTTGATGGAATAGGCTTTTTATAGCTAACTTCTTTTCTCCCCCCTGACTTCACCTTTTTAATTCATATATTCAGAGTTAAGAAAAAGCTCACAAAAGACACGAGGACCAGATACAAACAGAGAGTTTTTTCTCCGCTGGGGCAATGCCACAGTGGGACATCACTGCACTGAGAGAAGATTTAAATTTTACTGTATTTCCTGTCTCAAACATTCATCTGTTCCCTTCACAAATGGAACAGAACCACTCCCACCATGCAAACAGCTGCTACAGCACTTGTACTTGCCATTTGTCAATGGCAACTGAGTTTAAAACACCTAAGAAAGCGTTTCTGAAGAAACTGCTCCAGTGTAATATGGAGGATTTAATGGAAAATAAGAAAGCCATATATTTTGGTGATAAGTCTTCTATTCTGATTCCATGGTATTCAGTTTATTCATAACTTCATAAGAAAATCTGTGGGCTTCCATAAATTCCATGTATCTTTTGCTGTGACAATGCTAAAACGTGAAATTTCTGGTAAAATAAAAGTATTTCAAGATTATATATATATAATTATATACATGTGGGGTTTCTTTTAAATTACAGAAGAATGTTATCATTTCTAAAACAACAGTTAAGGAAATATGAAAGCATAAAGGGGGAAAGGATTGAGTTTTGTCTCTGAGAAAGAAATAGTGTACAGCGGGCAAAATCAAGGTCTGCTTCTAAAGATATAAAAATCCTAAATATAGGGTTTTTTCTTCTGCTTGTGTCTGAGATATTGAATATAGAGGAAACATATGGAGTACTAAATAAAATGTGGAAAAATTAAAAAAGGTGGAAAAATATTGAAAAGACAGTATCTACAGAGTGGAGGGATTTCACAATGTCATGTCAGTACTGTCTCACTTTACATAGTATTTTCCCTTTTAGAGTGCATATTTTATTATGTCACTGTTTAGAATACCAAAATAATAGCATGTTTTACTAATTATTGTGTTAAGAGTCCTGAATGTTTTAGAGTTTAATTATGCACAATTAATATCGAATAGAGTTGTATTCCTTCATTGAAGCTTTTACGAGGGTTGCGAATAACCCATTTATTGCTCTATTCTCTGCCTTTCAGGGTTTCAGGTACCATTTCCATCACCTTGCACTCACTGTTAAAGGCACAACTAGACAGATCAGCAGCTCCCCTGCCCATTCCCCTTCCCACAGACAAGGTACCCATAATCGTATTTTGTACTTTGGAGAACTTGTTGAACAATTGTTCTCAGATGATATACATCTTCTCTTTTGAGTTTGTTTGTTTGTTTTTTAATCAGAAAAGCTGCAAAACTGCTTTAAGATTAACCTCAATTTCACAATTAAAAGTGTGTGAAAGTCTAAACCTTCTCAAAATAGAAACACTTTTCCAACTTGTTCACAAAGATGAACATAAAATGAAGGCAAGAAGGTGTGTCATACTCTCAGTCTCAAGGAAAGCATTGTCAGCATTGCCTACAAATTCCTAGATAGGCATGAACAGTGAGATGGCCATCTCTACTTGAGGTGTTTCCCCAAAACCTATCTTAAACAACATCTTGTTTCCCAGTGCACAGTCACTTAAGGAAATTTGGTGACAAAAGGAAATTTGATTCTCAATAAAGACAAATGCCTAATGAGTGATCAAAATGCAAAGAAATAAAGTGCACTACTCAAAGTAAATGTATTTTAAAAATTATATAAAAGGTTGAAAGAATTATTCCAGCATCTTAATTTCCATTGAGGATGAACAACAGTAACATTACATTTTCCTGCAGCCTTATTCGCTCAGCCAAAAATGTAGCTAAAGGCTTCTGAAGTATGGAGATTCAATTAAAAGAAGCACCTTTTTTCCCATTCAGATCAGAGGTGACATATTTCTTTTAATGTTCTCTTTTGAATGGTGAGAAAGAGAATAGTACTTTATGATAAAAAAGATTTTTTCCTCCTTCTGCTTTCCATCTCTGCTTCATTTTACACAGGAATCTTTTCTCTTTACAATTCAGTGCAACATGTGTAAACATGGATTATACCACATCAGAAACCAAGTTAGCTATCTCAAGAGAATTTGTATCTCTGCTGTGTGTAAGTAAGCAGATTAATTCCTAGATCAGGCATTACCTAATGCATTTTCAATTCAATTTCTTCTTTTCTTTCTGCACACAAGATCAGGGAAGTGGGATTATTTTATTAATTTAACTAATATTTTGCATGTTTTCTCTGTTATCTTTCTTTCCTCCAAAATTTTTTGTTAGCTCCTAGTGAGTGATTTAGTATGAGCAAGGATGTGTAAAGACAAGAGACCTAAGCCCTCAACACCTTACAGAGAAATAAATGGCATAGGGAGTGACACACTTTTCCTCCTACTACACTACCGGGAATAAGGAATTCTCACATATTTCAAACCCTGATCTACAGCAGCACATCCTGCCTGGGGTAAGCTCAGTTATTGTACAAAATTTAGGAGAAGATTATTTATTCATTAACATTTATGCTGCTTTTATGGAAAATCTCAGAAGTAAAGAATGAGCCAGTCTGGTTTTATTACAGCAGTGCCTGCTAGCACTGTTTGAGGTAAGGGTCTGTCAACATATCACAAAAGCATGGAATTTACTGTGTAAAATCAGTCCACTGGCCCATCGAGCCTGCTAGCATGCCCCAGTTAGCACCCAAGTCTGATGCTTAAGCAGAAGATGGCACAGTAAGCCCTTAATACATCTGACTAATGTTAAACTTGGGCAGGGGCAGAGGCAAGACATTCCTTCTTGCTCTCTGCAGTGTTCACGTAACGCCCAAAGACAGGAGTCGATTATGTCCCCGTAACTAAGAAAGGAACAGACAGTGATAAAAATATATGGATTCTTTGTAAGTCAGCCCTGCAACTAGCCACAGGAACGGGTGTGCTACAGTGAACAAACTCATCATACATTTCTATTTTACACAAAATTAATATTCAGTCTTTTTTTCCCCCCTTAAAATCAGCTCAAAATCACTCCAACCAAGGTACTCTAAATTATCTGTTTAGGATGGAGCTTCAAATTAGGAAGGGTAAATACTTGAGAAATGAAAAAAAGTCTTGAAGATCAATAAGAAAAAGGACAGAGAAATTAGAGAAAGAAGGAAACACAGCTGAAACAGGGAACAAGGAGAGATTGTAAAGTGAGGAGAAAGGCTAAGGGGTAATTACCAGAAACATAAACAAGAGATAAATATTATGAGATGGGGTAAAGTGAAGAGTTAGGGGAATCTATGTAGCTGAAAATGAAACTGCATGGAGAGAGCTGTTGGGGTGCGGACAGAATAGCAGGAGGAAGGCAATCAAAGCCATCAACAGAATTTCCTCTTTCCACAATGCTCCAGATTCTCTACTGTTTAAGACCCTCAAGTTCTGCATTCCAGGTGATCTCACAGAGATATTCAGAAGTTGAACAAGATGTCATATAGGGGTGTATGCACGAAGAAGGGAACAGCAGAAGACAGGAAACAGCAGAAACTGTCAAATACATTCCTAAAAAATCAGCCAAACAGGCCAATAAGACGGGGGGAAAAAAGTAGGAGTAATATCAATGGCTCAAGTTGATGTAGATCTCAAGGCATTTTGAGAGGTTTTGACCTGAGTTAAGTATAGTAAGGATTTTTATACCTCTTGAAATACGTTATAGTTCGTATTTCTCCTATACAATACTTTTCTTCATCCAAACCTGAACTCATCCTTGTCAGTATCCACACAAATGCAGTAATAATCTATAGTGCATACCTTACACAGATGTAAGGTGATCCTGTTTGTATTCTCGAACTCCCCCTGCCACAGAACAACTCCACCCAAAACCAAACAAACAATCAAAAAAAAGAAGCAGGTTTGTTTGGTTTTTTTTTCTAAAATGAGTAATTTTTTTTTCTCCCCAGACGTTTGTGAAATTAGTTATTTTAGTTGTCACCCCTTTTGGAGAATGATGTTCATATCTAAAGTTAAAATTAATACAAATGACTGAAGAGGCACAGCCTCATTACAAAGGATTTATACACAAACCCTCTTATCAATACCAACCTCCTAGTTCTTAGACTCCTAAAGACAGAAATATGGAGCTACAAATAACATTCATTTCCCAATTACTATGCCAACCAGCTCTTTTATTATAGACTGTATTTGCATTTGACTGACTGGTCTATTGGAAACATAGTGCTGCTACACCATCATCAAGCATTTTCTCTTTTTCAAAGACATAATCCAGACTATGTGCACCAGTGCGCTATCTGTTGGTTTAATCATTCCTACACATGATAAGGGATCCTACTCTTTGCAAATCTGGATTTTTGTTAAATACCTTCATGTTCCAATTTTAACCTATCAGTCCTGAAATGATGGGAATTCGTTGCAGATTAATTGTTTATTGGACTTATGCATGAATCTACTTATTTTCTATTTTTATAGGTGGTACATTTGAGAATGTGTTCAAAGGAGCATTGTTTTGTATTTACATTTTCTTTACAGTTAGGATCTGCATATAATATACATAAAAAGTTTAGTCTTCTTTTATGTCATGAATTGTTGTGAACAGCCAGAATCCTACATGCCTACTTTGCATTTACAATTTTTACATAAAGAGTATAAAAATTAGTTCAATTCACAGGGTGTTAATGTACAACCCTTTTGGTGTCTGATCATCATTCCAGGGAATAATTTTGTAAGACAGGTGTTTGTTTAGCCTGTAGGAAACCTGAGACCTCCAGAGTGCTGTCAAGCAGGTTTGTTCATTTCTTTGTACCTTATCTCCCATTAGAAAATATTTCCTGTTCTTTCCCTATAAATTCTCCCAGGAAGGGATTTCCTCCTTTTCCCATCTTGATTCAGACACTATAATAACAACAACACAATTATGTGTTTTGTGACATTTAATAGTCTAGTCTGGATACCAAGAACTTCTTGGGGCAGAAAGCACAAATAAAAAAAAATGAAGTTATAGCAATTAAATTACCAGAATGCAAATAAATAGTCACAAATACTGTTCTCCATTATTTATGCAGATATAATTGATTTTAATCTTCTCTTATTGTTTCTCAGTCTAATTGTTTCAGAGTCAGATTTAAAGTGAAGCTCTGACTGCACTGGCACACAAGTTTAACAGAAGGTCGTACACATGCTGTATGTGGCCAATGCTGGGAACTAAGGAATCGAGCAAGAAGAATATTTTGCTATTATAAAAGTAAAATTATGGCTCTTCATAATTCTTTATATAGGGAGAAAGGAGGGATATCTATGGAAAAAATCCAGCTTGCTTCTTCAGATATATCCAATTGTCTTAATGACATTTTTATTTTATATGTATCTGTGAGTAAGGCAGAAAACTGTAGTGCTCTGTTTTGCATTGTGTCTAAAGTTATACTCATCGTGGTTTCAGAACAAGAAAGAAAAGTCACCTCTCCTGCCCCACTGAAACATTTGGGGTTCTACACCTAGCACACTGGGGTCAGAAATATGGCACAAAGACTTCTGAAATAAAAAAGGGTAAGTGAAAATTGTGATATTCCATGAATTTGAAAATATTTCAGAATTAAAACAACAAAGAAAGAAATAATGAGAAAAAATACAGTTGTTAAAAAAAATCAACATTTTAAAGAAATCAATGTTTAAATATTAACAATTCAAAATTCTACTGGTACATTGTTTTTCAGTGATATTCATGATAAATTATGTGACTAGTCTATTCAATGCCATATTGTGGAAATACATGTATGGGAAAACACCCATTACAAGAAACACTTTTGAGATGGACACAGATTAAAACAGAGTAAGAAAATTCTGTCCTGCATTGTTACAAAGATTTCTAAAATCTTGAAATATTTCAAATTTCTTTCAAAGATCCACTCTTCCCATTTCTTTCAGGGATGATTTCAAAATGGCTCTGCTCCTCCCTCTACTTTGCTACAACTAAAATTTAAAGTAAAGTGAAAACTACATCTCCATTATTTATATTATATCCAATAATATGCACTATTCAATGAAAACATGAAATGCCTCACTTTTAATGGGCAGTTCAAATATCCCTATGCACATCTTAGAGGGGAAATTTTTAATTTATATAAATCCACTTTGATGATTTATTTCAATTGACAGTGCTTCCCTATATGATGTTAAAAGAGTAAGCAATGGCATTTAATTGAATCAAAAGGCAATATGATGATAGTGAGTTCAGTCATGCTTTTACTGTTAACACTGGTGCAACGATTTATTAATTTGCCATTCCACTTACTTTTGTTTTCGAACAACCATAAATTACAGTTACACCTCTACATAACTACCAGTTGGCACATATGTGATACTGGTAATGACATATATATATATAACTAGAAGAGATCATGACAGTGTATATGTTCTATTCCAAATCAAAAACTTTCTGACTTTGTCTAGTGAAAACTATCACTCCTGTCATGTGTATGTTCAACACCATCATAAATTTAGTGACTGGTGTGTCAAATGTGAGGAATTGCAATCAAGTTGAGAACTGTAAAGAAAATTCGAGTCAAACCACAAGAAGTTAGAGGTTATGATCAAATACAGTCAGTGATGAGTGGTATTACCGAAATGGAAATGGTTGGTAAACACTGCCCAGGTCTTAGCACATCACTAGTATTAGCAGTTTATCTAATTAAAGGGCTGGGCATTCAAAAAGACTCTCATGTAATGAAAAAATATGGAAATTTCCAATTTTATTTTATTGGTTTTAATTCTACACTGGAATGATTTAAGATTTATTAATATATTATTTGGAGACTTTTTCTCTAGACCAGTCTAGTGGTCATGGCATGTGCCTTGCACTTGAAGCTATGCATGAGCCCCTTTGATGCCAACTTCAGGCACAGAATTAGTGTCACTCATATTTTGCAGTCCTGTGATCAAAACAACGGGTGATTCATTATAAATTTTTTATTTGTAATTTATCCAGATGGACTTTTTTATTTATTGGAGAGTAAAAATTAATGTTCTTAAGGAGAAAGGGGCACTGCAGCCTTCATATATGCCATGCAATACCCTCAGGACTCTGCTTTGGTTTCTTTAACTAAATCTTGAAAAGTCTTATAAAAAGAGTAACCATATTTTTCAGCAAAACAGTATTATGGTGCTTTGTGTTTTCTGACTGTTCATCTCCACCAGTAACCATAAACTGCTGGCACTAGTGCCAAGTTTGTTACAGAGAGATTAATGTTGGCAGCACAAGAGCTTCTGAGCTTTTTAAAATAAATTTGGCACTAAGCTCTAAAAGGGTTCATCATCACTGATCTAGATTACATCCTTCTTTATCAAGAAATAAGTTTCAAAATTCCTATCTAAATAATACTCCTGATTTATTTGTGTTTTGTTCCATTAGATTAATGCATATAGGAAGAATTTTCTGAAGTAATCTGCAAATTCACTGCATTTTTCATTCACTATCTCTAAAAAACTCATGTCTGCAGCTTTAGTGTGATGTAACTGTTATTATACTAATCTTAATTATCACCATTTTAGCTTTTGCCTCCCACACTTGTTGTCATTGTACTCATGTCTGGTTTAAAAACAGGACCTAAGCTAGCTGAGGCCAGCAGCTGTCTTTTTAGTATCAGGTTCAGAGTCTAGCACAAAGGAGCACTAGTTCCCAACTAGAACCTCAACATGCTGCAGCACTACAGATGTTAAATGTCATAATAATGATTGTATCTTCCTTACACAGTGATTATGAACAAAGCTGTACATCTTTCAAAGAGCTCTTGTTTTTACTTTTCACCAGCAGCTAAAGCAAGCAACACATTTCCATTACAAGATGAAGCTGTACAATCTCATCCAACAAATGATCTCACTCTGACCCTCACACTAACTTTGCTATTAAGCAAAAACAGGCACATTTTCCAATATTGATTCCAACTAATGTCTGATCCTAACAGGCATGATCTTATCGGGGCCCCACTATAATAGAAGGAGTGTCAGAGTTAAACAGAATAGGTTTAGATAAGATCACAATCTTCCTCACCATGATGTGATGCTATCACTGAGTGAGTATAGTATTTGAAGTAATTATCATTAATAGATATTGGCAATAGGAAGAGTGGTCACTGCTAAGATCTAAACAAATTTGTGCATGATAAAATAAAGCAAGTTTTATCCCAATAGTGGATATGTTATACACCCTAAGAGACTTTGTTGCCTTTATTTTTTTCTTTGAAATTATAGATATTGAATCAATAGAGGAATATTGAGGAGCAATGCTACATGGTTTTTTCTGTACCTTCTGTTTTGTGGCAAACTGCCACTTCGGCCTTTCTGCTGCTTTCCTGATGCCTTCATTGACCAGATGTCTCATGATGTGTTGTGTGGACAGACCCTGGTCCCAGGGTTTGCCTGAAGAGCCATGGCCAAAGCTGATTTCATGGCGCCCTTCCTTGTTAGCCGACAGTGGAGCAGCAGTGACCTGTCTGACAGGAGGTGTGGGAAGCAAAGGGTCATCTTTCTAGACTTTGAGCCCTACAGCTGTTTCCTTACTTGAACTACTCTTTGCAGGAATATGGGCAGTGCCACGGTGGGTTAGCCTAGAGGACTGGTCTCTAAGGTAAGTGTGGGCTGTGGCAAAAGCCACAAGGTTGACAGTCATCTGGTTTGGTTTGGTTTTTGCTTCAGCATTTGTTCTGATTGTAGTAGACTTTCTGCATTCCCAGAAAGACGATGGTACTGTAAAAAGGAACACCCGCTTTGATGTGGCAAATTATACGTGAAACTCTTAAGTCTTTCTCCCCTGAACCTGTCAGCATGTAAGATCAAAACAGCACAGAATGAAAATAATAATTTATAGCCCTGGAAAAAATGTTATCAACCTAGGAAAACTGAAAACACTAATATAAAAAAAAAGTCAGTTCATAGTTATGCATGTGCTTTTTGTAATGAAATAGCAGAAGCATAGCTACACTTTCAAAGCCATACAAAAATAATACATAAGGAAAGGGTGTAAATCTAAAATCCCCTTAACTATTCACCATTATAAAAAATAAGCAAGTGTGCATGTAGAACTAAAAGGGCACAATCAGTTTTCCAAGAAACAATGTTGTCTCTGTTATTCTGATAAAAATACTGAACTCTAATATACTATTTTTCATTCTTACAGACATTAGCTAATTAAGAAATTAAAAAAAAATTCTAAATTAATAGCTTACTTGCCAAGATTGCCCAAATATTGGTCTTATACACAGAAACCTACAGGCAGCTTTTCTACTTATCTTCATGTATTCGTCTTCTCAAATGTGTGATTAACTCCAGAGCACTGAAATCTTTTTGATAATCACTGAAGATGAATGTATCAGGACAATCAGCAGCATATGGAACACAGAATGCTGCCAGATGTTAACACACTAAAATAAAGCAGAACCATCCGTGTACTCTGTATCTTGTCTAAAAATAATATACTCATTGACCTTAACCCTAACAAACCAGTCCCATCTTCAAGGTCAAATAAAATAACAAATATTTATCTTCTATGGAGAGGTTTATAGACTGTACTTGCAGTGTTCAGTGTCACAAAATGCTAAGCCTACCTCAGCCTTACTGCTTTGAATGAAAGCTTGAGGTGCTCAGTACTAAGCAAAATCAAGTCCTAAGTGCATTATTAATCACTGTTGTAAATTTGTGGTCATTGTGCGTTCCCTTTCATTGCTTTATATTTTTTTCAAAGACTACACATGGAAGCAGAAAAACATCTAGGTAGAGTAAAAAAATTAAGGCATATAATTGTGATGTCTAATGCATACTTCATTTGGAAGAGATTTGCAAATGCTCTATGTTACCTTGAAAGAATAACTTCAGCCATCTTTGTTATCCCAATACAAGTGCAAATATCGAGGTAACATACTGCTGCAGCTCTCATGAGCCTGAATACCAGGCTACAGTGGGTCATGGCAGCAAATATCACCCCATCAGCGTCTTTACTTCTTCATGCCTTTCAACCATCCCAAAGGAGACACTCCTGTCCAACAACACAGCCAGAGAAAGGCAGAATACAATGAGAACATCACGACTATTTTGGAAGAGTTCAGGAGACCTCACAGTTATGGTAGTAATAGTAAACAAACAGACAGTTAAGCATCTTTGGTATGACTGATAAGGAAATGATTATTTAAGCTCGAAAAGGCCATTTAATCCCAAGTACACCACTAG